ATGGCTGCCGACAAGGATCCTTCTGTCAGGTTGGGTCGACTACCTCCTCTGACTAAGTAGACCAGGGACCATGATGGCCCGGGATGACGGAACCATGGGATCTTGATCGGGTCCATCATCCATTCCCCCACCATCCGCTTTAAGTGCTAGATGGTGAAAATTTCTATTTTAAATACCAAATCTTCCAAATATCCAGACTTCCCAAATTCACAAACCCAAATCCAATTTCTACCAATATCAAAATCCAAACCCATTGCTGCTACTATATGCCAGATAACATGTATTTCTATACATATCTGATCGACGACTAGCCTTAATCGAAAGTTCTCTCTCATTATCGAGAGAGGTAATTAACTATAGGGGCTTGCGCCTATAGGAAACCAGAACTCAGATCATAAAGTCCTCGCAAATGAGGGCGAAATCTCTGGGTAGTGTCTTATCTACAAACCCATCTGCCTTCCAAAATTTACCTCGGAACTTAGTTCGTTAAAACTCCCTCGCCGAATAAAGAAAGAGCGAGCGGAGGCCGGGGCCGAATTTTCGGAGCCCACAGTGAATCACCAACTAAGATGAACATTTCACCACCCACAATAGCCCGAGATACTGCAGGCTGAGCCATGACATGGAAAGGAAGAGTGGTGAAAAAATAACGATTCTTAGGTAGTAATGGTTCTTGAATATTCACACTGATGACACCAATCCCCACATAGATTTTTCAGATAGTTGATGGAAGGAATGAACAGCAGCCACAGATTTCTCTTTGACTAAATAGAGAAGAAAGGAGTTTAAGTGCAAATGAGTTTCATATAAAAACCTATAAAGCAACGCAAATGAAACATTTAGGCTTCGTTTGGAACGACTTTCTTACTTCTTCTTTAAACAGTTTTCTAGTACCTAGAAAGCTGCTTTAAGAAGTAGAAAGAAAGGCGTCCCAAACGAAGCCTTAGTCCTCAAATGTAGGATGGTTAAGGGTCTAAGCCTCTAGAATTACTACTACTACATAAAATAAGATGCACAATAAAAACACAAAAATCAAAATCCACAAGTGATCAATTTTTTTTAACTAAGATGAAAACCATTCACTGTTAACATTAAAAAAAGGGAACACACTTCTTTCAATGTAAATAATAATTTAATATTTACTAAATTTTAAATTTCAAGCAAAAACAAAGAGCGGATATAAAATTTCAGCAATAATTAAGTTTCACACCAGAAAAAAAGAATTTGACCTGTATCACAGTTGCCAACTCTCAGTCACCCACACAAAACCAATGTTAAATTAAACATGAAAAAAAGGAAAAACCAACGCCCACGCCAGTACAATGAGACTCACCCCAAAAGTAGCCATTAATACTTGTGAAACACTTGAAGAAAATACATCCAATCAGCACAAATATAAAAATTAAAAAATTTTGAAATTCTTATTGCAATACTAAATGTTCAATGATTTAAATATGCCTCAAGTGTCTAATTTATAGCTAATAAGTAATAAAGGACAAAAATTAAGAAAGTTGGAGGTAGCAAAATACAGAGATATTCAAATGGTAGTTAAAATTATTTATTATCATGCATGCATTGAGGGTAATTAGAAATTAATTAGGGTTTTGAATAAGACCACCAAGTTTTAAGATAATTAATTAATTAATTAGATATTCAAATGGTAGTTAAATTTTACTATTATTAAGATTTTAGCATTATTAAATTATGATAATCAACCAAGTTATAATTAATTAATTAATAATAGTAATTAAAAACAGTGTGCCATTTAATCTAATTAAAGATCAATTAAGGTTTAAATTAAGCTCATGAATATTTTAATCATATTAATTATGATAATTAAGTTGATAATTGATCAAAGAAAACAATAATTAGCTATTTACTTAGGTTAATTAGGGATTAATTTGGGTTCTATTAACACTATTAAAGCTTTATTTGTTAGAATTATGTTTATTATACATAGGATAATTAACTACAAATTATAAACAATAAATAAATATTTATTATGGTATTATATATTAATTAGGATTTTAATGAAGATAATAATCTAAGGTGGTTATAATTAAAAGAGTAATTAAAAAATAAGTCTTACTAATTAATTTTATATAACTAATTAAAATATTAACTAAACTAATAAGTTATTATTAATTAGTGCTTATGGTGATATGTTAATTTAATTAAGGTTTAAATGATATTTAATCGGATTATTTATACTTGAGATTAATTCAATTTTAAATAGGCTGAATTGATAATTACTTATAAATTAATTAGGTTTTTAAGTTTAGTTGCAAACTTAATTTATATTCTAGTTTTGCATATAGAAAATAAGGAGATAACCCAAACGTGTGTTTGTTTCAAGCGAAAATTCAAAAAATAAGAAGTTAAACAAAATAAAAACGAAAGCAAAACAATTCCAACCATGGTCTAGGTAATTATTTTTCCCTGCACTATTACTAATTTAGATATGACTGCTCATGTAATAAAGTTCCGTTCACTTAGAGATTGTAAGCAGCCGTTTCTTATCATTGGGAGTAGTTAAAGTGGAACGTTACCAACTGGGGTTCAGGAATTTAAAATATTCAGAAGAGTTAAATCCATAGGGAGAGATTAATCCGTTGGGAACTATGAAAACTGTTTATCAATATATTTTATTTTCAGTAGGGTTAGATTGGCAACATCCAATTGAGAAGATGTGAAGTTTGTAGGTTAAAGTTGTTACTACCGTTGGAACTTTTTATTTGAATTTTTAAATCTTTGCTTAGAGGTGAATATTTGATGTTTCATGCTCAGAAAAAAAATTGGATGGTCAAGATTTTGAGCTGGTTGGGCTACTACTAAGAAGAGTTAATTTAAGGATTAACATGGTCATAACTATAAAGTCTCTATGATAATGTAAACATTAACAACGATTCAACATTATCAGATCACAATAGCTGGAAATCTATGGAACCATATTAATATTTCTCTTCAACATAAGACCAAATACATTTATGAATAGAACATCAAAAGCAGCATGAACCACTAAAATAGCATATCAGAAATTTAGTGAAGGGGGGCAACAGAAAGTATATTCCTCATGGAGCTTCCTTTCGGATATAACAAATTTTAGGAATCTGTTAATTGATTTCTCACCTCAAAACCATGTTGATGTCCTCTTCCTCATCAGCATGTTGCATAGCAGCAATTAGATTTCCACGCTTAAGCTCTCTAAGGGTTAGATGACCATTACCCGATCTATTCACATAGTAGAATATTCGATAGATGACAGTTTCAGCTGGAAAAAAGATTTGGATCGTGTTTAAATGAGCATGAAAAATGTTAGTTCGTTGGAGAAATAAGTAGCACAATAGGAACTGAATCAAGCAGAAGAGCTCCTAGATTTCAATATTCAAGCAGAGGTACAAGCGTTTAAAGAAGGGCAGTCAAACAATATGGATGAATGAACCATTGCAGTACCATGCCCTTGCATAAACTAGATTTAGGCTTCGTTTAGGACGGCTTTTTTATTGCTTCTTAAAGCGTCTTTATAATAAAAAATTAAAATTTTTATACTAAAAGTCACTTTAAGAAGCAGTAAAAAAGCCATCCCAAATAAAGTCTTAAACTCAGCTTAACATAAGATTCACAAGGAAATTAAATACATCATAACAGTAATATTTTTTTTTTAAGATTAGATATAAAAACATAACATTAGACAAGGAAGAAGATTTAAAAGCAACAATATTTCTTAGGTTTAATTGAATTTGGGTTCACAGTTTCTAAAGTATAGAAGTCTCTCCACTTTTATTCTGGGATGCAGGCTTGACCGCTCTTTTTAAAAGTGCCATTAACCAATATCGAAAGTAAGGACCAAAATACAACACAACATAAAAGTAAAAGGGTATTATATATTAATTAGGATTTCAATGAAGATAATAATCTAAGGTGGTTATAATTAAAAGAGTAATTAAAAAATAAGTCTTACTAATTAATTTTATATAACTAATTAAAATATTAACTAAACTAATAAGTTATTATTAATTAGTGTTTATGGTGATATGTTAATTTAATTAAGGTTTAAATGATATTTAATCGGATAATGTATACTTGAGATTAATTAAATTTTAAATAGGCTGAATTGATAATTACTTATAAATTAATTAGGTTTTCAATTTTAGTTGCAAACTTATTTTATATTCTTGTTTTGCAAATAGAAAATAAGGAGATAACCCAAACCTGTGTTTTCTTCAAGTGAAATTTAAAAAATAAGAAGTTAAACAAAATAAAAACAAAAGCAAAACAATTCCAACCATGGTCTAGGTAATTATTTGTCGCTGCACTATTACTAATTTAGATATGACTGCTCATGTAATAAAGTTCCGTTCACTTAGAGATTGTAAGCAGCCGTTTCTTATCATTGGGAGTAGTTAAAGTGGAACGTTTCCTACAGGGTTTCAGGTATTTAAAATATTCAGAAGAGTTAAATCCATAGGGAGAGATTAATCCGTTGGGAACTCTGAAAACTGTTTATCAATAGATTTTGTTTTCAGAAGGTTAGATTGGCAACGTCCAATTGAGAAGATGTGAAGTTTGTAGGATAAAGTTGTTACTACCGTTGGAACTTTTTATTTGAATTTTTAAATCTTTGCTTAGAGGCAAATATTTGATGTTTCATGCTCCAGAAAATAATTGGATGGTCAAGATTTTGAGCTGGTTGGACTATTACTAAGAAAGAGTTAATTTAAGGATTAACATGGTCATAACTATAAAGTCTCTATGATAATGTAAACATTAACAACGATTCAACATCATCAGATCACAATAGCTGGAAATCTATGGAACCATATTAATATTTCTCTTCAACATAAGACCAAATACATTAATGACTAGAACATCAAAAGCAGCATGAACCACTAAAATAGCATATCAGAAATTTAGTAAAGGGGGGCAACAGAAAGTATATTCCTCATGGAGCTTCCTTTCGGATATAACAAATTTTAGGAATCTGTTAATTGATTTCTCACCTCAAAACCATGTTGATGTCCTCTTCCTCATCAGCATGTTGCATAGCAGCAATTAGATTTCCACGCTTAAGCTCTCTAAGGGTTAGATGACCATTACCCGATCTATTCACATAGTAGAATATTCGATAGATGACAGTTTCAGCTGGAAAAAAAGATTTGGATGGTGTTTAAATGAGCATGAAAAATGTTAGTTCGTTGGAGAAATAAGTAGCACAATAGGAATTGAATCAAGCAGAAGAGCTCCTAGATTTCAATATTCAAGCAGAGGTACATGCGTTTAAAGAAGGGCAGTCAAAGAAATGGATGAATGAACCATTGCAGTACCATGCCCTTGCATAAACTAGATTTAGGCTTCGTTTAGGACGGCTTTTTTATTGATTTTTAAAGTAGTTTTCTAGTAAAAAATTAAAATTTTTATGCTAAAAAACCGCTTTAAAAAGCAGTGAAAAGGCCGTCCCAAATGACGTCTTAAACTCAGCTTAACATAAGATTCACAAGGAAATGAAATACATCATAACAGTGTAATATTTTTTTTAAAGATTAGATATAAAAACATAACATTAGACAAGGAAGAAGATTTAAAAGCAACAATATTTCTTAGGTTTAACTGAATTTGGGTTCACAGTTTCTAAAGCATATAAGTCTCTCCACTTTTATGCTGGGATGCAGGCTTGACCGCTGTTTTTAAAAGTGCCATTAAACAATATCGAAAGCAAGGACCAAAATACAACACAATATAAAAGTAAAAGAAAATTAACGCTGAGCCCCAAAAAGCAATTAGAGCCCATAGTATATAGGGCCCCAGAGGCAATTGAAATTGGTGCATATTTTAGTCCTTACATGTGCTATCAATGAGGCCTCGAATAGCAGTCTTCAATAAGAACCTATATATAACAAAGCATAACAACAGAACTTACATGACTTCAGAAAATTGTGGAGGCCCAAAATTCAGGAACCGGCAGTATTTCTAAACAACTTTCTCAAGGCAATCTTTAAATGATGCATCTAGTTAGCAGCCATTTTGATGCAGTACAATTTCCTTTAATATTTAATATTAAGTCACAAGACTATTTTTGTGATTGTCTTTATTTATATTCTAATTAATTAGTAGATATCAGATATGTCCATTTAGTTCTAAACAGGCTGTACACATTACATATATACAATAAGGACATTTTTTTCATAATAGTCAATATGTATTTTAGGTATTTGTTGTCGTGAGTCGAGATAAAGGGTTCCAATCTTGCATTAGGGCGCTTGATGGTGAGTTATTGAATATTGAACAAACTTTTGGGATATTTTCTCTTTAAGCCTATGCTATTCAGCTCTATCTCCACTTCGCATGTTTCTCTCTCTCTGCCTCCATTTCTTTTGATCCTCTTCGCTTCATTATTTGGTATCTTAGAGCATTTGCATCCCATTGCATCTAAATCAATCTCTTTCACCCACCCATACGCTCATATATTAGTCTTTGAAGCCAAAGTTGACCACCCTCTCCACCTTAACATTCAAAACCTTACCCCAGCAAATTGATCAACCTCTCGGCCACACAACCACCCAAGCAAGCTTCGTGATCGCATTGCCAAAGCTTGCATAAGCTTCCATGCCCCCCAACGATACTCCAAGGGTTCTCACTAAACCCTATCTATCAATCAAGCGTGCATGTCTCATTAATGATCCCAATCACGATGGGTGGAATGATAATCCATCAAAATTGTCCACTCTCATTCTTCCCTAACACATAACCTCAAGCCTATTGCTACATTGTCAGAATCACACCATAATGCTCTACATGCCCATGCCTGCAACAGCTCTCTAATCATGCATGTGACTTTAAACAAACCCTCCTTGCTCACAAATTCTAACCCAAGCACACAACACATGCTCAGTTGTGCCCTTACTACCATATGTAAATTGATCGAGATCTACAACAATGACAAAACAGTCACATGCCCCCTTTCCTTGCACGTCTTCTATAAAGGCATCAAAAGGCTTCCAAATATCCTTTCATAGCTGATCATGTTATTGATGATGGATGAAGACCGTCTTTTACTAATATTGCAGATATAGTGATGTTCTTCTCCTTTGTCTCTTTTCTTTAGGATAGATTTTTTATTCATTACCTCATCTTTAGAATGGCCTTCATATCGTCTCTCCTCTTTGAGATGGATCACGCCAACACCATAGTACAATTGAAGAACTCAAGATCTTCTTCTGGCAAGAAACAACATTTTAACTCTATAGAGTAGAGCTTTTATAATCCAAGGGAATAAATGTCGTGCAAGTTCATTTAGTATTTAGTAACAATCTTTTTTTTTTTGTTCCCCTTTATTTGTATTCTAATTAATTATTAGCATAATTATAATGTGTTAGATACCTCCATTTAGTTTTAAATATATTTTTAAAATGTTTCAAATATTAATTTCTTTCTTAATAGTCTTTATGCATTTTATGAATGAATAGGTAGTCTTGAGTCTACATAAGAGGTTCAAATATTATATTAGGGCACCTGATTGTGAGTTATTGAATATAGAATAAAATTTCAGGATATTTTCTCTTTAAGACAATAGTTATTTTCTTCCATCACCCCTTCTCACACCACTCTCTCCGTCTCTTTTATGTCTCTTCCCTTCAATTCATTTAGCATTAACTACAAGATCAACTACCAAATAGAAATCATTAGTAAACTGTTTATTACTTGAAAAATCATATGCATGCAACTAGAGATATGCATCTTTTATTTATAAATAAATAAGCTAGATATAGGCTTGCCACTTGACCAGGCGTTGACCCAAATTAACTAGAAACTAGACGAAGACATAAGAGAAACTAACTATTATATTAGTTACTGTTAGAATTCATAGAATTTGAGAAGGGTAAAAATACCTTCTACTTATTATACAAAATTATCCCTACTTATAGATCTATACAAGATGTCTTAATAAAGAAATAAATAACTTCTAATTGATACATAATTGCCTCAATATAATCCTTCCTAATTCAGCTACCCAAATATAGAAGGATATTGGCGTGATCCAAGTGAGCCTCCCACGGATTCTCATCCTGACCGTGAGATCAAATGCTAAGGGATGACTGAGATTTTGACAGTCCCCCTCAAGTTGGAGACCAGCTTGCAATTACTCGCTCAGATGTAGAGCTGCATTGGTTATGGATAGGATATCAACCACCAGAGAAAGCCGGCAATGAAGGCCGATGATGGAAAACTATCCTCAAAATTCCGACAATTAAGGTCGGTTGTGGGAACCTGTATTTCTCATAATTCCAGCAATAAAGGCCGGTAGTGGGAACTTTTATTTCTCATAATTCCAACAATGAAGGCCGGTAGTGGGAACCTTTATTTCTCATAATTCCAGCAATGAAGGCCAGTGGTGGGAACTTTGTATTCCTTTGAAATTCAGCAATGAAGGCTTCACGGAGAAAATTTCTCTTGTCGACAATAAAGGTCGATGATAAAGATTTTCTCTCCTTTTTCACTAAAAAAGATTTTTTTTTTTTCTGTCCGACAATGAAGGTCGATTTTTTTTATTTTTTTTTTTTTTTCCTTCCCGATTTAATAAACAAACCGGGCCGCCGACTCTTAAAAGGAGTCGGACCGGGTCGCTTAGGGCAGGCACGCAGGGAGCTGCTCGGCTCCCTTGGTTCGCAGGATGCTTCTTGGTTGGATTGGAACGCTCCTTCGACAATCTTCCCTTCCTGTCAGATCGAGATGCTCGACTAGGCTCCTCTCCTTCGACGATCTTTCCTTCCTGTCGGATCGGGATGCTCAACTATGCTCCTCTCCTTCGACGATCTTCCCTTCCTGTGGATCGGGTTTGCTGCTTCGCAGGAGGCTTCTTTGGCTCCTTCGTGGCCGTTCGTCTACGCTCCTTCGACAACTTTTCCGTCTATGGCAATGAAGGCCTTTCTTCACGAAGGTTTTTCCTCTTGAACCCCTCCGACGCTCTGATACCATGTTAATTTGAGAGGTACGAGAGGGAAAAAGCTTGTCTTTATTCATTACAATCTTCCCTATTTATAGATCTATACAAGATATCTAAATGCGGAAATAAAGATTACATATTTAATACATAAAAATCTTTCCTAAATTCGTTCCTTCAGTATGGCATGATCCATGAGAGCATCCCAATGATTGATCTTTGTGTCCATTGGATCCTTTGCACAGGGAACGGTTGGATTTCAACATGCACTTAATTCTTCTATAATTCGCACAATCTTCTGCATCACCTTTATTCTTAAAAATAGGAATTGACACACTATATATATATATATATAAGGAGGGGAATCAAAGAAGTGGACAAAAGTGCACATCAAAAACCAACACTACAACAAATCAGGCTAACCTAGAAACGCAATCCAGCTTCAGAGATCTCAATAAAGAAGATACTCATAAACTAAAATTTCTGATATCCCTATAAAAACCACCTGCATCTTCTTCTCTAGCACTTTCAGATAAGTTTTCTATAAACATTGGATTAAGTGCCTCTAGAAATTATTTGAAAAGATTATGGATCATTGACTCAGGAACCACAAATTACATGACACACTCTACTATCCACTTCATCAGTTGATAGTTCTCTTACCACAGTAGTAAGCCAAGGAGACATAACCTTATCTCCCTCCCTCACTCTAAAAAGTGTGCTCCACGTACCTCAATTATCCACAAACCTAATCTCCATACAAAACCTTACCTGCGACCATAATTATCAAGTCTTATTTAACCCTACTTGATGCTTATTTTAGGACCAAAGATCGGGAAAAAGATTGGACTTTTTAAGGAGGAGGATGGACTATACTACTTAGAAGACCTGAATGAATCTAATATTATTAATAATGGTTAATCTATGTTATCCATATTTGATAAAAAATCTACTATTTGGCTTCCCCATTTTAGATTAGGACATCCATCTTTTGGTGTTTTAAAAATATATACTTCAAACTTTTTTATAAGTTGAAAAATGAATTTTTTTTCATTGTGAAATATATGAGTTAGCCAAGCATAAATGGGTTTCTTTTCCAAACAAACATAAGGGATGTAATACTCCCTTTCACCTTATTCATAGTAATAATTGGAGACCCTAAAAATTTTCTAACATCTCAGAAGCTCGATGGTTTGTATCCTTT